CATTAAGGAGGGCACCTGACGTAAGGAGTACTGGGTATTATCTAAGACTGATGAATCACTGACCTCTACCTCTGAAACCAATAATACATTATATGTTAATTAATTGAATTTAAATTTTAAAAATATTTTTAAAAAGGCACATATATACAAGAAAACTAAACACCACAAAACCATGTGTTCTTAGATTCTAAGGTATGCTGCACATAAGTAGAAAAGATAAGGTAAAAGACTGGGACAGTGTCCTTGAAATAGGATGTGCTTAGGGCAAATAAGGTTGAAGACAGAAAATACAGACAGAAATGTGCTAGTTCAGCAGTTCTAAAAGTGGATCTGAAGACACCCTCCTCCTTTCCCAGGTCCTTAAGGTCAAACGTATTTTCATAGTAAGCCTAGGATATTATTTGCTTTTACTTTCATTCATTCTGTTATATAATGCATTTTCCAGAGACTATACACCATATCATAGATGAATACAGAAGTAGAGAGAATACAATTATTGTTTTTATTAAGCTAGACACTAAAGAGATTTATAAAAATGTAAATGCCACTTACTAAGTTTGTGTTGTTTTACAAAATTGTTATCTTTCCTAAAAACATTGTGTTAACATGTCATGGAAATTACTGCTATTTTTCAGTGATTTAATAAATATTGTAATTTTTTATTTTAATTTCTAACATGATAAATATTGATAGGTATAACCCACCTAAGCAAAACTCTTTACGTCCTCACTAATTTTTTTAAGAATCTAAAGGGCTACTGAGACCAAAAGCTGAGATTCACTGAGCTGATGGTATTTACAAATGGATGGGACACTGGCCAAGATTCTCTGTGCAGAGTAGCTAAATTAGATGTATTAGACATGAAACTGCTCAGGCTTTGCGTAACTTAACGACATGTGTAAGGTACAGGTACAGGCTTTTCTCAGCAGTTTTCTTAGAGCAAAATATAAAAAGAATCCTTTAAAACCATTCTTATCCTCCCGCCTAAAACACAATAGTTTCATACTCTTTTTGAATTGCCATATTCAGACATTTTTATATTTCAACAGTCTTCACAATTATCATTTAATAGCTGCATAATCATAATCCAGCATTCCTACAAACCTCAATAGCTACTTTCATATCTGATTTTTAATGTATTTTATAAAAATAAAGCCTCATGCAAGAAAGAATATTGCAGATTACTATCCCAAAAAAACTTACTTCTAGAATGCCAACGGATCTTATTTTAAATCAAACTTGCCTGAGAGATATTGTAGCTTGGAACACAAGGATAATGACATTTTGACCTGGAACTTCTGGAAACCTTGAATTCAGGGCTATGTCTCTCCCTAACTTTGAAGGCTCGACACACACTCAAACTCCCTCAAGAACCTGTTTCCCATTATTCCAGGTGCTACCCATGGTTCCATAAACACAATTAAGGGTTACACCGGTGCTTCCCACTACCTGAAATCATTGCTTTTCTCATCTCTACCTATCCAAAATTCTTCCTTTAAGGGTCAGCTTGAAAGCCAACTCATTCACGATTCTTTCTCAAGTCCTTTTCAATTGAACATTATAACCTTTTTGAATATCTATTTTTTTTTTTGAAAACTTTATTTATTTGACAGAGAAAGACGGGTAAAGCAGGAATACAAACAGGGGTAGTGGGAGAGGGAGAAGCAGGCCTCCTGCCGAGCAGGGAGCCCGATGCGGGGCTCGATCCCAGGACCCTGGGATCATGACCTGAGCTGAAGGCAGACGCTTAACGACTAAGCCACCCAGGCGCCCCCCTTTCTGAGTACCTAAAGAACTTTGTTTGAACAGCACTCAGAATACAACTCTATTCTGCTTACCATTATTCTTTAGGATAGAAACTGTCTTATCAGTCTTTACTCCCTGAAATACCACGGAAAAGAGGGAGGAACTGCTGAGGAAAATGAGGGTCAGATGAACCGTAACCTGCCCCAGGTCAAATAGCCAGTGATTGAAAGAGTCAAATTTGAATGCCCAACCCCACACCGTGACAAAGCCCATGTTCTTTCTACCATATCGTTCCATGCTCCCTACCTTATATCCTTTATGATAATAAATTCAAGAAATCTGTAAAAATGGAATGAAATCAGACTGTCTTTATCCTTAACCTCAAGGAACCTCTAAGATGGAAAAAAAAATCGAGATAAAATATTTCCTATAATTGTACTTTGGCCACCCCTGGCATCATACCCCTACATATCTTATTGTGGCCAAAAAAGCACATTAAATGTGCAGTTTTCAGGGGCGCCTAGGACTCAGTTGGTTAAGCGACTGCCTTCGGCTCAGGTCATGATCCCAGGGTCCTGGGATCAAGCCCCACATCGGGCTATCTGCTCAGCGGGGAGCCTGCTTCTCCCTCTGACCCTCTCCCCTCTCATGCTGTTTCTCACTCTCTCTCTCTCTCAAATAAATAAGTAAATAAACAAACAAATAAATAAAATCTTTAAAAAAAGTGCAGTTTTCAGGAGGCAGCATTAAGACCAACAGCTGTTCCTGAAGTGTTAAACGTCTATCATCACCATATTTTCCTGGTTCTTTATTTGAGCAGAATTGGAGCTATGACTAGTATGCTTGGGACAGAGTAAGGTTTTAATACATGTTTGTTAAATAAATAAATGAGTGAAAAAAATTAATCATTTCTTCTGTCTGGAACCTGTGTTGACCTCCTCTAGTTCCTTTGCCAATTTGTCCGCTATCATTGTCTCGAGCAATAGCTAACAGAAACTCTTGTATATTGGGCTATAGAAAATATAGCTGATAGGGGCGCCTGGGTGGCTCAGTCGGTTAAGCGGCTGCCTTCGGCTCAGGTCATGATCCGTGGGTCCTGGGATGGAGCCCCACGTCCGGCTCCCTGCTCAGTGGAGAGCCTGCTTCTCCCTCTCTCTCTGCCCGCCTCTCTGCCTACTTGTGCTTTCTCTCTCTGTGTCAAATAAATAAATAAAATCTTAAAAAAAAAAAGAAAATATAGCTGACGACTAGTATATTTTAATGTAATTTTTCAGTTTCTGAATGCCACCTGCTAAGCAGTTCAATTCTGCACCAAAGGCATTTCAAAATTATCATGTCCATTCACCCTTTCACCTAGTACCAAAACCCCAAGGTGAGTATGGATTCTTCCCACTCTCCCTCACTCACTACATCTAATCCACCCACTTTCCACCAGTGCCTTTGCTAGTTTCTCACCCGCCCTACCACAACAACGTCCTCTGACCTTAATGATCTCCTCACCTCAACTCTTAACTCCAACCGTCCATACAGCAATTAGAATAATGTTATTTAAAAAAGATGAAATGACGTTACTCCCCTGCTTAAAACACTTTAATAGCTTCCATTACACTTCCAATAAAATAAAAATTCTTTACCATGGAATTCCTTACAGTATCCTTCATGAACTCCCACACTCACTTTTTTTTTCCCTACTCACTTCCTCATTTCATTCTACCCTCTCCCAGCAAACCATACTCCAGCTATACTGGCCTTTTTTGATCACTGTGACCACTAGATTATTACCTATCCCTGCAATCTCTTCTTTTCCTTTGCACATATCAGAAGTTTATATATAAATTTTTTTTTGTCTGTCTCTCCCACTATACTGTATACCCCAAGAGAGCAATATAAAACTGTTCTTTTGTTTTATCACTAATATTGAATAAAGTATAAAACCCAGCATGTGGTAGGCACTTAATATTTCTGAATGAAGAAACTGCTTCCCTATATACTCTTCATTTAGATCAACATGTATTACATATTGTTTATATGTTAGGTAACAACATACATAGTTAATGAAGTATATAACATATAATACATTACTACTGAATAATAACGGATTTGGCCGCCTTTTGTACCAGGTTCCTGAGAAGTAACCCCTAAATCCTGGGATCTCCAGAGGGTCAGGAGTGTCTTTCTGATTCTTGGTGGGCCCCTAGACAGTTTATGCTAATAAGATTACTCAGGATGGCAGCTAGCCATGCCAGAAAGACCAATGTGTGATTAGAGGGTTGAGGTACCGGAGACTGAGTTCAACCACATGGCCAATGAGTCAAGCACTGGTGCCTATTCAATAAAACACCAATTAAAAACTCTGGACACCACAGCTCCAGATAGCTTTCCTGGTTAACAATACTCTGTGTGTATGATAAACATCAATGTGCCGGGAAGGTGATGTATCCTGACCCCACAAAAAGAAGATACAGGAGCTTCATGTTTGGGACTTTTCTAGTCCTTGCCCAATGTGTATATTCTTTTGGCTGGTCCTGATTTGTATCTTTTTTCTGCTATAGTAAAACTATAATTTTAACTATAGGACTTTCCTGAGTTCTCTGAGTCATTCTAGCAAATTACTGAACCTAAGAAGGGTAGTGGGAACCCCTAAATTTATAGCCAGTTTGTCAGAAATGTGGACGGCCTGAAAATGCAGGAGCCTGAGGGTGGTGTCTGAAGTGAGAGCAATCTTGTGTGGGAGTAAGCAAGCCCTTAATCTGTAAGGTTAGCCTAACTCTGGGTGGCTAGCGTCAGAACCGCTCTATGATTATGTAACAAAGAATAGATGCCACTTCATAAATACGTGTTGGGCACCGCGCAAGCATTTTTACATACATTATTTCTAAATGTTTAGAACACATTATCTCTAAGCCTCACAATAACCCCACACATTGGAATGATCACCCTAATTTTTAAAGTAAGTAAACTAAGAAGTAAAAGACACACAGACAATAAGTAATTTAAGTGGAGCCTGAATTCAAACTCAGCACTGTTTGACTCAGAAGCCCAAGATCTAGTCACTATCCTCTCTAGCTTCTCATATTAGTTACGTAAATACAACACAAGATAACATCACAAGATTACTACCTAAGAATGCATGGCACTTGTGCAGAAAGGTCTCAGCAAAATCTAAGGTATTATTTATGAATTTACAAACTCTCTATATGAAATATAAAATATCATACGTTAATACAAATTTCTTTGGCAACTGCTTAACTTACTTGTTTGTGTTTTAGAAACATGCTTCTGGAGAAAATCAACTGTTTGGGCCAAAACCTTCTTATTACACTGTGTTGATAATTTTTCATCACATTCATAACACCTGAAAAAATACAAATATGTAAGCCGATATTATGAAAGCATCTTCAATAATGTTGCACACCAGGTAATAAAGTAATAAAGTTGATATTTATCCAGTCTCGTCTTTAAATTGGGGTGGGGTGGGGCAAAAAGTATACATGTAGAGTGAGGCATTAGGTAAGTCTAGAGAAATAAGCAGGAGACAGTTCATACAGAGCCTTATCATTCAAATTAAAGTTCTGGTACTTTTTCCTAAGTGTAATGGAAAGCCATGAGGAGTTTTTTAAGGAGGGGAGTGATGTGATCCAATCTATATCTTAAAAACATCACTAGGACTAATGTCAGATGGAGGGAATCAGGAATAGAAGGTCAGGGTAGAAGCAGGAGATCTGGAGAAAAATGAACAGATTTATTTTACAGAAATTTCAGGTAGAAACAGAGAAGTATAAAAATAACTGCCATGGAACGAGGGAAGTGGATGAGGGTAAGTCAGTGATTCTCAAACAGGAGGAATTTTGCAACAAAGAATTATCAGCTCAAATGACGACAGTACTGAGATTGAGAAATTCTGGTCTAGAGGAAAGACTTGCTGCAAGTTGGGAATGTTTAAAGTTGGGTGATGGGTATGGAGGATTTCATTATACCATTTTGTCTACTTTTGTTAAAGGATTAAAAATTAAGATAAAAAGGGAAAGAAAGCAAGTGCTAGGTTTCTGGCCTGAATACTTAAGTGATGGAGGTGCCACTTATAGAGACGGGGAAGACTGGGTAGTGTTTTGTTTTATTTGGGGCTTAGTTGGGAAGAGAGAGCTCCCAAAGAGATTTTCAAAGCACATTACTTTTGAGAAAATTAGCTTCCACTAAGTTTACTCATTAGTGCATATAGTATTAATAAAGATTTCTTCTATGTATTATCATTACCTGCTTCCTTTAACTTCATAAGATCCAATGGTCAAATAAAAACATGTATTTGAACATACTGAAAGTGTAATGTGTTATACCAATACCACCTTACATATTCACAATCTTCTTATAATTAATAGGGGTCCTGAGATTAATGGCTATAAACTAGGTTTGGATTCTTTTTCTAAATAGCACTCAAAATTCAGTCAAATATTTACTCATACTCAAAATACAAATATTACTCTACCACTTGCATACAGAAATACACAGATACATAGATAAATCTGTGAAGGAAACAAGTCACAGAAAACATTCCCAAAACATCTTTTCTAATAGACCATGACAGAATTCAAACAGTGTAGAATTACCAGGTTTACACTATTATAAACCCTCAAAATTTACTGACATAACTATTGCCAAAAATAATAAAAATTGCTCATTTGCAAAATATTGAAATGTCAAGAAATTTTTACTGATGCTGCAATTTAATTTTTACTTGCTATAAAATGTATTGTAACTTTAAGAGTACAAAAAGAAAATGTGAATAAAAACCACACAATGGCAGTGAATTGGAGAAAAGAGGACAGCTCAACATAAATTAATTCTACTTGTTTCCATTAGAAATAACCAAAAAAGGGGCACCTGGGTAGCTCAGATGGTTAAGCCTCTGCCTTCGGCTCAGGTCATGATCCCAGGGTCCTGGGATCGAGTCCCACACCCGGCTCCGTGCTCAGCAGAGTGGGCTTCTCCCTCTCCCTCTGAACCTCCCCCTGCTCGCGCTCTGTATCTCTCTGTCTCAAATGAATAAAAAAAATAAAAAACTTTAAAAAAAAAGAAATAACCAACTGAGCTCCTAAGAAACTAGGGAATCAAAAGACTTGTTTTAGTGACTGGATGTTTACTTTCTAACCAGTGTCTTTATATGTAAAATGAGGGAACTGGACTTGGTTCCCAGCCAGGATTAAGTAGTAGAAACACCCAAGCAGTTTTTACACACTGCATATGCCCAGGCTTACCCTTTCCCCTCCAGGGAATCACCAAACCACCTGACTGCTTGAAGTACCTTCCTTCTCTAGAACTCTGGAATTCTGCATTAGCAAATTCATTATGAAAAATCAACTATGAAGAATGTTTCTTTATCCTATGAAGAAAATGTTTAAAAAAAAAAAAAGTAGAGGGATGACTAAATTTTTCCTTATTTAAATTTTATATTCATGGGTAATGTTACTTTTCTTAAAGTATTCCACAGGTTGTGTTCAGGCTAAAAAGTGTAAGGGGGGTATAACATCTTTAAATATCTTACTTAGTAAAGCTCAAAGAAAATGATATTTTTTTGTAGTGGACACAAGTACTAATAAAATCTAACTTACCATATAATCCATGTGCTCAGACTAATTGTAACACAATGAGATTCTGTTCTCCAACTCTTGTAGTGCTTCAGTGAATGTTGGCTTTCTGAGTTTCTACCACATCCCTAAAGATGAACAGAATGCTATTTGTACAATTTACATGTAAGTTTGTTTCAAATTAATCAAAACTTAAATCATACTCATTAAAAAAGTTTTGGTTTTTAATTTCAAACAGGAGGGAAAAGTTTCAGAAAATAATATTGATTCTCATTAAATTTAATTTCTTGCAAAGAGGCTAACTTGCTTTTTGTTATATAGTATTTGCCTAAAACAATCATGAGCTGAGTTCATTTCCCTATTATTTAAAAATGTATACACTCTCTGCCTTGCACACTGTGGGGCACCGAGCATCTTCGCAGACCAGTGCCCTCCTCCTATGCACACATTTTCTAAAATTGTCCAACCTCCACCCAAACCCACTGGCAACTAATGAGACTCAGACCAATCACAGTAATTTCCCTCAACAGGTAAGTAAAGAAATAAGATCCAGTTCTGGTCAATGCAACATGAGGGGCAGTCTGCTAGATGTTTCTGGGAAAAGTTTCACATACTTAAAAATTGAAACAAAAACAGGAAAGGGATGTCCTTTTTGCCCTCTTTCTGGCCTTGGGGATGGCTGTATGATATATAATGCATGAAATATCTTCGGCCATAAAAAGCCATGAAATTGAGGGTGGACAAAAGAAAAATGGAAGAAAGCTCAGTTTTCAATGTTCTTTTCATTGAATTAACTAATCCTGATGTGGTCCTACTTACGAACTATGTGAAATAATAAGGATTCCTCTTATTTTAGAAAAATTGTAGACATCAATTAAAATTGATTAAAATTAAAACATCTTAAATGTTTTTCAAAAAATATTACAGATATTAATAGCTTCTAAGCTGTTAAAAATTATTTTAAAAAAAAGAATCCTTTCATAGAGAGAAAAAAAAATTAATCTAGTAAGATGTAAAAAAATTTGGATCCATTTCGTAAGTAAATACAAATAGGTAAAGGCAGGTCCAGATGTGAGAACTACTGCAAGTAGGTTGGATTCCCTTTCAAAGTATTTCTAAACCACATGTGGTTACTTTCTGAATACAATATTCCTTTTATTTTACCTTAACTAATGTTTCTAAGTTGAGCCTTGGAGAGTTCTATCTAAACAGGAATAAATTTATTTTAAGTTTTAAACATTACCAACAGTCCAACTCACAATAAGCATTTAAGAAAAATATTTAAGACAAACTCACATATAAAAATCACGCTTCTCACCTGAAAACCACACTTGAGGCACAACCATATGTCAGAGGGAAGTACTGGCTGCCCATCACAGAATTTTCTTTCTTTTAAACAGTCCGAGCAAACTGACCACACATTCTCAGCTATTGCTTTCTTCACATGATTCACACTGACAGCATGACTTACATGCTGGCAAGTGAAACCTACTGAATAAGACAAAACAAAATGTGAACATTTTCTTTGCTAAGCCAAAGTGCTACCACCAGAAGCCAAAGTCAATAGCATTAAAATACTGTAACTAAAAAGCAAAGAGATTTGGAAAACAAAACAACTCAAAAGGATACATACTGCATGGTTCCATTTATAAAGCATTCGTGAAATAACATAATTAGAGAGTTGGAGAACAGATTTGTGGCTGCCAGGGACTATGGATGGAGAACAGGGAGTGTGGCTATAAACAGGTAACCGCTGGGGTGGTGATGGGACAGTCGGGTATCTCAGTTGTGATGGTTATACAAAACTACACATGTAATAAAAGTACACAGAGTTATACCCACACACGAGGCCTTGCATATCTGGTGAAATCAGAGTAAGCTCTAGGATTGTACTGATGTCATTTTCCTGGTTTTGATATTGTACTATAGAAATACAAGATGTTAAATCAGGAGAGGTTGGGTGAAGACTGAATGGGACCCCCTTGTATATCTCTTTGAACCTTCCTATTAATTCAAAATTAGTTCAAAAATAAAAAGTTTAATAAATAGATTATTTACTGAGCAGCTATTGTGTCAAGCATTTTGAATATATTTTCTTCTCATTAAGATACACACATAAAATCTTTCCACAGAGCCCACCTCTGCTCTGATGCTATTTTCATCATTATTGAGAGAAAGGAGAAAGAGGAACAAACAATATGGCATAATTTACAGGAACAAGATTTCTCCTTAATGAATGTTTCCAAATAACAAATGACGCTGCGTGGTCCTTAATTATCCTTTATAACAGAGTCCCACTGGGTATACTGTGTGGAGACAACTGGCCAAAATCGGCCAGTATGTTTATTTCTTCAGATAACTGTGTTCTTCTCCCAAGGACACAATGACACTTCCACTTCTGCCAAATACCTGAACACTTCCACTTCTCCACCTCATCTATCTCAAACACCGAAACTACAACTATCCACCAAAATTAAACAGCAAAGGAAAGACTGAGTAACTTGAAGAGGGAAACACGAGTATGTACATTTCAACTTTCTCCACTTCCCTTCCCAAATGCACAGCACTCCTTTTCACCGATTAGTTAACTAGAGAGAGGCTAAGCATTCGTTCCTTTTCATCCTGAAGCCTAAGTATGTGAGTCCTGACAAGTGACTTATTGTAAAATATAATTTCAATAAAAGTAATGTGTAAATCTGGGGAAAGATTAGGACTTCTAATCTTACACCAAGAGCAAGGTATAAAAATAGACACAAAAGGAGTAATTCCAAAGTCCTATATTTGAAAAGCAAGGACACGTGGGGCACCTGGGTGGCTCAGTCGTTAAGCGTCTGCCTTCGGCTCAGGTCATGGTCCCAGGGTCCTGGGATCTAGCCCCGCATCGGGCTTCCTGCTCAGCGGGGAGTCTGCTTCTCCCTCTGCCACTCCCCCTGCTTGTGTTCCCTCTCTCGCTATATCTCTCTCTGTCAAATAAATAAATAAATAAAACCTTTAAAAAAAAAAAAAAAAGAAAAGCAAGGACACATGCCATTAAAGAAAGGGGTGTTCTGGGGAAGACTGATAAGATGACCACATAAATACAGGACCTAGAAGTGGGTTACTAGGTATCAATGCTTTGAGTTTTTATATTTTAAAATTCTAAGGTGAAAAATTATTCCATACACCTTCTATATCATCTCTGGGGTGGGATTTGGCCAGGGTATAACTTAGCTATTCTCTGAATCTACAATTCAGACATATAAAACTGAAATTGTTAATGAATTCAGAGATAAGTGAATTCATGATAAAAAGGTCCCAGGAGTCTAACTTAACTCTATTAGCTTTTAAATGCCTCAACCATATATACTTTTTATAAGTAAATTTGAAAATTTGATGTTTTCTTACAAGAGTTAACCAGTGTTTAAATAGTATTCACAATCTTTGGTGGGGGGGGAATGTAAAAAAAAATTCTGTGCTAATAAGATTTCCTCAGTTTTCTGTAATTTGTTTAATCATACAATTGTCTAAATTTCATCTGCCAAATAAGTCCTCTAGGGATTCCTGAATAAAATATATAAATGTATTAAAGTCTATAGTTGTTTCACATTAACAAATCAAAACAATTATTAAAGTCTCCACAGTTTTCACTTTAAATATTAAAAAACTTTACAAGGAGGTCTTCCAGTATGCAAATGATGGTCTAAAATCAACACTTCCCCATTCTCCTCTCAGAAACTGTCCAATGTCAACAAGAATAGAAAACAAAAACACCAAGTTCATTTTCAGGAAAACCAAGAGGCAACTGAAGCCCCAAGTCATAAATTCAGTGGAAGAGTCCCACCTCAGTGCAGCAGGGATCAATAGGGGTGCATACAGAAGGAAGCAGAGAGCATACTGCAGCTGTAGATCCCATAGAGAACCCCGCATGCTTTGCAGACACAGAATGAAACCTCAATCTCTGTGCTGCAACAACCCTGGCAGGAGCTCCCCTATATCCAGTTTTGTTTTAAGAAGCAAAAGAAGGTGGGAGACTAGAATGGAATTAGAGAGTATTATGCTAAGCGAAATAAGTCAATCAGAGAAAGACATGTATCATATGATCTCACTGATATGAGGACTTCTTACTCAGGAAACAAACTGAGGGTTGCTGGAGTGGTGGGGGTGGGAGGGATGGGGTGGCTGGGTGATAGACATTGGGGAGGGTATGTGCTATGGTGAGTGCTGTGAATTGTGTAAGACTGATGAATCACAGACCTGTACCTCTGAAACAAATAATACATTATATGTTAAAAAAAAAAAAAGAACAAGATAGTAGGAAGGGAAAAATGAAGGGGGGAGAGCAGAGGGGGAGATGAACCATGAGAGACTATAGACTGTGAGAAACAAACTGAGGGTTCTAGAGGGGAGGGGGGTGGAGGGATGGCTTAGCCTGGTGATGGGTATTAAAGAGGGCATGTATTGAATGGAGCACTGGGTGTTATACGCAAACAATGAATCATGGAACACTACATCAAATAAATAAATAAATAGAAAAAATATATTAAAAAAAAAAAAGAAGCAAGAGAAGGCAATTTCTAATTCACTAAGTGAGAAACAAACAAGCCAAATTTGCCGGAAACAGTCTTGTCTCTAAGGCAGCGAGAAAAGATCCTTCGGGTTCTGAAAAAACCCCAGGGCTGCCTAATCTTGTTGGGTGGAAAGAAGTAAAGGCTAACTGAGCTCACACTCAAAACTCCAGCTGGTCTTGACAGTGCTCTGGCCCTCCTTCTTACACAAATATTCTAAAACTAACTGGTCCAAGAAAGGTGACCCTACGTTAAAGAATGAGAAAACAAAGAAAAATCAAAGCCATAAATTCTATCCAATATAAGAAAAAGGAAAAACAAATGGCACAGAAATCACTGCCATGAAATAAAAATACAAAAGAGAAGCAAATGCTCCAGCATGAGGTGGCAAAATAGGAGGAAGTGACTGGCAGAGCTCAGGAAAGAAATGGAGGAAAAAATAGATAAAAACCACAAAAAGGATGACAAAACTAAAAAGGGCATATGGTGAAAAAGACACTGCAGAAAACACTGTAAACGATAAAAAGGAAAAGACCAAGCAAAATGAAAAGGAAGTAGGAGTTTTAGACAATTTGAGAAAAAATAACTAGAAGATAGGCAAGGAAGAGCTAACATAAGAATCATCAGAATCGGAGCGCCTGGGTGGCTCAGTCATTAAGCATCTGTCTTCGGCTCAGGTCATGATCCCAGGGTCCTGGGATTGAGCCCCGCATCGGGCTCCCTGCTCGGCAGGAAGCCTGCTTCTCCCTCTCCCACTCCCCCTGCTTGTGTTCCCTCTCTTGCTGTGTCTCTCTCTGTCAAATAAATAAATAAAATTAAGAAAAAAAAAAATCATCAGAATCCCTGAAAAAAATAATTTCAAAGAACAAATGTTTAAAGATATAATTCAGACCTCCTTCAATACAACAATCTAACTACTCTGAAACACTATCCAAGTTAAAAACACTCAAAAATGGAAATAAAAATTAAAAATGTCTTTTTAAATGGAGAGCTGAACTGGTGAGAAAGGAGGAAAATCCTCAGAAAAGCTGAAACAGAAGGCATGAAGTTCAAGAGAAAAGCAAGCCTGAGGCCAGCTCCCCAGTCATCTTCCAGGCTTAAAGGCCTGGCTTTAACAGGTCATGAGAAATGGAAAACAACAAAAAGATGCCAATTCTAAGTTACTTTATAAACTAAGCAAAATCTCAATAAAAACATCAACAGGATGTTTTGGAACTAGACAAGCTGATTTTAAAGTTCATGCAGAAAATAGTGAAAATAAAAAGCAAAGGACTTATTGATTAAAAACATATATGGTTATTTTCTACAACACCATTCAGGACGCCAGATATCACAATTTACCAGCAATGTCGTCTGAAGAGTCTTCATCACTAGGTATAGCAGGTCTTTTCCTCCTTTTGGCTTTCTCAGGCAAAGCTTTGGAAGGTTCTTTCACCCGCATCTGTTATTTACTGAAAAGGTTGGGGGTAGGGGGAAATGAATACACTTTAATCCTCAAAATTAAAATTTTAGGTATTTTATTTAATGTATATTAAAATAGAAATGACTTCCATTTTAGTTGGGCCCTAGTACATCAACAGAAGAAGAGAACATCAGGTGAAACCAAAGAAATCTTGGTTAAACCAATATACAAATGCACATTACATTTGACTTTTACCAACTACTCCCTAGATACATGATGTCCAGGTGGATGAAAAAACGAAAGGTTTGATCAAGGGAATAAGTGCTGCTTCCGGGTCATGTGCTCCCCTTGCCCTTTCTCCCGTCCCACTAGCTAGGAAACAGTAGAAGCTGGAAAGGCCACAATGGACCAGGGATGGAAGCCATGTGCCCAGCACAGCAGAGCCAGCCTACCCGCACCGTATGACCTAGCACTGAACAACTGAGAAAGAAAGAAATTGTTTTAAGCTACTGCATTTCTTCTGGGGATTTTCCCCACTTTTTTATTACGAAAAAATTTAAACTTCCACAAAAGTTAAAAGAACATATAATAAACAACCATATACTTACTACCTAGATTCCACATCTAGAACATTTTGCCCTATTTGTTTTATCTAAATATCAGTGTGTACAGAGAGACATATATACATGTATGTGAGTATATTTGTTTTTGCTGAACTATTTCAAAGTTGCAAAGAGCCTGTATCTTTTTTAAGAATAATCACATCATTATCACATCTAAGAAAATTAACAATAATTCCCTATTCTGATATTCCATCATATTCTAGCCTCTTCAGCTGACCCAAAATTATCTTCCATACTGTTTTTTTAAAAATCAAGATTCAGTCAAGGTTTGCACTTTGTATTGGTTATGTCACGTTAATTGTTAGCATCTTTTAATCCAGAAACTGTTCTTCCCATCTTATACTTTCCTAAGTTACTGGCTTTTTTTTTTTTTTTTAAGATTTTATTTATTTATTTATTTATTTATCTCGAGAGAGAGAGAGAGAGAGAGAGAGGGAACACAAACAGGGGGAGTGGGAGAGGGAGAAGCAGGCTTCCCACCGAGCAGGGAGCCCGATGCGGGGCTCGATCCCAGGACCCTGGGATCATGACCTGAGCCGAAGGCAAACGCTTAACGACTGGGCCACCCTGGCGGCCCAAGACACTGGCTTTTTTTAAAAGATCAGGACAGTACATTTGAGTCACCTTAAAGATCTTGTTAAAATGTGGATTTCGATTCAGCAAGTCTGGCACAGGACCTGAGGTTCTGCCTGTCTACCAAGCTCCCACTGGAAAGCCATTGCTGTGAGTCCATAGACCACATGTTTTTTTTGTTTTGTTTTGTTTTTTAAGATTTAGGTTTATTTATTTTAGAGAGAGAGCACACACGAGCAGGGGGAGAAGTAGAGGGAGAGGGAGAGAATCTCAAGCAGAATCCCTGCAGAGTGTGTAGTCCCAACAGGGGGCTCGATCTCAGGACCCTGAGATCATGACCCAAGCCGAAACCAAGAATTGGACGCTCAACCAAATGAGCCACCCAGGTGCTCCCACAGACCACACTTTCTTTTTTTTTTTTTTTTAATAATTTTCTCCTGCAGGTTTTTTTTTTTTAAGATTTTTTATTTATTTATTTGAGAGAGAGAGCATGAGAGGGGGAGGGTCAGAGGGAGAAGCAGACTCCCGCTGAGCAGGGAGCCTGATGTGGGACTCGAACCGGGGACTCCAGGATCACGACCTGAGCCGAAGGCAGTCGCTTAACCAACTGAGCCACCCAGGCGCCCCCAGACCACACTTGCAATAGCAACATTGTATAATGTCCCACACTTAATTTGTCTCTTTCTTCAAGGTGTTACTTACCTCTGTCCTTTATATTTTTTTAAAAACCCAAAGTTAATTGTTAAGATTTTAAATAAAAAATTAAGCTTTTTTTTTGAAACCACTGTTAAAGTTTAGCTTAAATCCTACCTAATATCATCTGTTCTATGGCTAAGCTACACTGAAATTTTCATGGCTATTTGTTTATTTGCTTTTACTGACCAAGGTGGAAATCTTTCAACTCAATAATAAATTCTGAATCTTGGGGCACCTGGGTGGCTCAGTTGGTTAAGTGGCTGATTCTTGATTTTGGCTGAGGTCATGATCTCAGGGTCATGGGATCCAGCCCCGTATCAGGCTCCACGCTCAGCAGTTTGAGATTCTCTCCCTCTTCCTCTGCCCCTCCCTGTGCTCATGTACATGCTTTCTCTCTCTAAAATAAATAAATCTTTAAAAATGAATAAATAAATTCTGAATCTTGATTCAGTTATACTATATTCCACATATGGAAGCTTTTTAATTTACCATTTTAAGAGCCATTTCTTTAATTCCAGGGGTCATCACTCTTGAACAGAGCAGCAACAAATTATGGCCTTCAGGGTTAGAGATGCATGAGGCCTCTGAGTTCCTTGAACACTTCATTTCTGACTGCCTTTTCTCTCCAAACTTCCTCACCCACTTACCCTATAGTTCTACCTTGCAAAATCACTAATTCAAGAATTCTGTTCCCTAATCACAAATTCGAGTTCTTCCAGCTTTGCCTCTACAGCCACTCCTATTCACCTTTAGTGCCCAGGCTGGCAAGAGGCTGCATCTCACCAAGTTCTTCCATGATCACTATAGCAAGGCAGGGAGATAGGGAAGTAGCAAATGGAGTGCTGGTTCTTAAAGCTTCACTTGGAAATGATGTCTGTCATTTTACCAGTCCAAGCAAGTCATATAACACATTTAACCTCAAGTAGACATGGGGGTAAGGGAATGGAATGTGGCGTGTGTACAAAGGAGTGCAACCTTACCATGTACACTGAAAGAACAAAATATGTGTGCACAGCCTTAACGACTACCACATCATCTCCCTAACAAAACCCCAAACCTAAATGAACCCAATTAACCACTTTCTGCATGTCTGTATCCAAACAGGCTGGAGAAAATCTTGTAAGAAAGCAGATGGCGTCCACTAAATTCATAATCACAATCCCAACGTCAAATGGATCAAGACTTGCCATTATCTACTACACTTCCCGGAAAACGTACTTACCTACTACTCACACACACAGCCATGTGCAACCTTTCTCACTCTTCTAAACCTCTAACTCCTCCATCTCCCTACTTCTCAAAATAGCATCTAGTCTTCTACTTTACTGAGGGAAAAAAGATATAATCAGAAGGCAAATCTGATCTTTCCATCCCCAAACTTACAGACTTACCTCCAACTCTTTCAACTTGATGTCCTGAAAATACAGGCATAACTAAAAGAATCCAGGAAAAATGGCCCAAGAGAAACTGGCCATACCTTCCCCAGCTTCACAGATAACCTCTTAATAAAGATAGACATCAACACATAGATAGTGCTTGCAGAATTAAAAACAAAAAACAAAAAACCCCAGGTATTTCACCTACAATCTATAAAAGGCCTGTAAAAGACAGAGACTCAAACTTAATTTGGCAATGTAGTCAATTTCCAGTGATTTTTCTGACACATGCACTATATCTAAACATAGAAATAATTTTGGACAGTAACCCACTATTTAGCAATTACTTATCTGTATAGCTTTCTTTTTCTTTCCCTTTTTAAGCAAAAAGAGACAAAATCTAATTACTGGAGCTTCAAGTAGTTTCTATCACCAGTATTGTGTCTGGGGAGTTCCACGACCACCCACATATTTGGAGATTCACTGGAAGGACTCACAGGATTCAGCATGTGGTTGTACTCATGGCTAACTTGTATTACAGCAATGCAGTATGGACATACATGAGCGTAATGGAAAAAGACACAAGTGAAGTTTGCAGGCATCCATGTGCAGGCTTCTTTATGTTCTCTTCCGGCCAGACAGGGTCAAACAGAGCACTCTCTTTCCCCCAATAAGGAAAATCCAGCAATGTCTGTGCCCAGGGAAGCTCATTACAGACTCACAGGACCAGGTTTTTCCTGGAGGCTGGTAACTTCAGCATAAACCATAGTGTACAGCATAAACTATACTGTTTCCAGATGCCAAACAAGGTGTAGCCTTGCAGCAGAACTTTCTAAGGATAGCAGTCTCAGACTTGATATGTTAATTCTTTTCAGGACAAATAAGTTCTGGCCCTTTTTTCATGTGGTTTCCCAAACAAAACTTTTCAGTTTTCAACTTCAGTATTACTCTAACATCTGTCTTTTCTCTGCTGTAGGATGTACAACTAAGTTGTTTATTAATGTTTGATTTTTTAAAAAACATGCCATACAAACAAAAGCCCATAGTCTCAAAAAAGAAAAAAAAATTTTTTTTTCCCTACCCTTGGACTCTTGGGCAATTATTTTCGGCGTGGGGAGAGGAAGGACACACTCTCCTTTTAGTACCAGACTCAAAAAGATGAACAGCACTTACATACTTTTGCTGTGCATCACGCTCGGCTCTCAGCACTTAAAAGATACTACCTCACGTAATTCTCACAACCGCCTTATGAGACAGGTTACTATCACTTCCCCCATTTTACACTTGAAACTGAGACACACAGAGATTAAGTGACTTGCGGAGGTCCCGGAGCCAGTAAGTGGTGGATGGAGACTTGGACCCCGGCAGCCCTTCTCCAGGGCTCCTAATACTACCCTCCAGTCACTAACAATAGCTTCCCAAGTTTCTCAAGAAAAAATGGGTAGTGAGAAGAGAGCGGGAGGGAGGCGGGAAGGGTGTCGGCGGGGGGGGGGGGGGGGGGGGAGCGCCTGCTTCCACATAAAGCGGAGACTCGGGTCCCTCCCTGCGGACCCCTCCCGCCCAAACAACCCCGGTTCCGCCGCCGGTGCCCAATCTGTCCGCACTCACGCGGCCCCCGTTGACCGCCTGGAGCCCCCCGGGATCGGAAAGACGGGGGCGCGTAACAGGCCTCTCTCCAGGCCCGTCCTGCCACAGGGGGTTGGGGTAGAGGAAGCGAAGACCGAGACACTGCGGCCACTCCGGCACCGCAGTCCGGACTCACCACGCGGGGGAGAACAGCAGCGTCTACAACTAGAAGAGACTGCGCCTGTGCGGCCGACCTCTCGGTCGGCAGAGGCGAGGCCTCGTGTGCCCGCCCACATCCGGGGTGGGGTTTGAGGCCGTCCCAATGGCGGTGGCGCACCGGAGTGGGGCGTGGACAGGGCGGGGCCAGCTCGCGTCGCGCCTGCGTTCTGTAGGTCTGCAGAGCCGGGTAGGCCAGACTAATCTTAGAATAATAGCAACAGACTCAAGGCTATTGTCTGAGTACGCAACTCAGATCTTCCCGGAGTCGGGCTTAGGTCCCACTTGTTGGTGAGGGCCTGAAAGGATAGCTTCCGACTTTCCTCTGTCACACTCTTCTGTGCAGTAAAGTCACATCTGACATTTGTCCTGTAATCTTGCATTTTTTTCATTATTGGCTTACCTGTCCTCGCTTACTTACTAGACAGGAAATTTCTTGATCTATACCTCTTCGAAGCTCGATTATCCGTTAAAGTGGTCTGCACACTCATATGTTTAGTAAAAATAGTTGGTTTGAAAATATCTTAATGATATTGCAAACATCAACTCTAATTATGGGTAAGTCCTACGAGCTTTGTAATCTTTCACAACTCTTCAGGCAGGAGGCAGGTGGCCTTATGATAGAACCTTGGATTAAGAGTCTAAGATATCAGAGATAAACCAAAAACTCTGATTTTCCAGTAAAATCTCTAATTCATTTCTTGCGAAATAGTTAGCATTATTTCTATGTACAGAACTTGGCAAAGGAGGTCATTAGGTGTTTACATTGTATTTATGGAAACCATTCATTCAACAAACATAACTAAGTACAAATATGCCAGTTACTGTGCTAGATATAGGGATAAGTAATGTTTTGGAGTAGGTGAAATTTTTTCTTTACGGAAAAATTTTTTTCCCTATTTTTTTCTTTAGGGAAAAAAAAAATTTCCCAAATAAGAATAGGTCGTATTGTGGTGTAATTGTTAAGTCAAAACTGTTTACATCACAAATCAAAAGTTTTCATTTATTTTAACATCAGATTTAAAACAGAACGTGGAGGAAAAAAAGATATGCAAACCTGAACAAATCTAAATAATTTCCATACTAAATAGCATTGCTGTAAATGGGATTTTTAAAAATCTATCATATGGATTAAAAGACTAAAAAGACAGACTGAATTAGAACATAGAAATTTAAGAATTAGGGGCACCTGGGCTCAGGTAGGTTAAGTCTCTACCTTCCCCTCAGGTCAGGATCCCAGAGTCCTGGGATCAAGCCCTGCCTCAGGCTCCCTGCTCAGGGGGGGGGGGGGTATGCTTCTCCCTCTCCCTCTACCCCTCTCCCCGTTCATGCTGGCTCTCTCTCAAGTAAATAAATAAAATCTTTAAAAAAAAGAAATTTAGGAATTATGCAAACACCATAAAATTTTTCTTGGAAATGATAAAATTCCAAAACTATCTTGATTTCTAGCAGTCTACATTCTATTTTACAACTTAGTTTTGTGTGTTTTGGTTTTTTTTTATTTTTGCTTGACAGAATATCTTGGACATAACTCTAGATTAGCCTCATTCTTTTGACTAGTTGCTTAAAACTCCAGTGAATGGGTGTATCATTTTTTTCCCCAGTTTTCTGTTGATGTACTCTTTATCTTTGCCTACTTGTACAAATATCATTAGTAGATAGCAGTGGAAATCCTGAGTTAACAGATATTCATTTTGTTTTGATAGAAACTCTTTCAAAAAAAAAAAAAGCCGCATGAAAAACAATACATTTCCTAATTTTTCATTTGATTTGTCAAATATATGGAGGCTTGATGTGGACTTAGAAAGAAATGGGGAAAGTCTCCTCCTTTCCAGTTGCCTTTCACTTGCATTATGCCAAGAAATAAAATGAGTTGTTTGAGAATTAATGATTCATATCAACTCAGCACTAGTAGACCTTTCCCATAAGATTTAAACTATTTTTCTCCCTTTCATCCCACTTTAAGACTTCCTGACTCTCTGAAAGAAGAACTTGGACACTTGTCCAAGGAACAATAATCAAGATTCTCTTTTGACAAGACTTTTTGCTAATAAACCAAGTCTGGCACTGTACTAGTTGTGGGAGGAGCTATTCATCTTTTCAGATAAAAAATCCTGCAGAAAAATATTTCTCAAATACTTAGTCACGAACATTGGAAGAAGAATTCTTTCATAATATGTGCTCTTGCAAAAGCATAAATCAAATTGAATATGATTTATCGAGGCCAAGCACATTGTTTCATTGTTTCCATACCTGTGTTCATACTACCTATGGTTTTGATGTATTCAGGACAGCTTGGGATGCCATGGGGAGTACATGAATTTACAACATATAATGACATTTTAATTCAAAGTTAATCCACAAAATAGATCATATAGAAACTATAGCTAAAATTCCAAATATTTTGGAAAAATGTAATTGTAAGTGATGCCACTGGCATAGAAATTTGAAGTGGTGCTATTAATTATTAAATTACTGAAAACTAATGGGGCGCCTGGGTGGCTCAGTCGGTTAAGCATTTGCCTTCAGCTCAGGTCAGCACCACATCAGGCTCCCTGCTCAGCGGGGACCCTGCTTCCCCCTCTCCCTCTGCCTGCAGCTCCCCCTGCTCGTGCTGTCTGTCAAATAAATAAAATCTTTAAAAATAAATAAATAAATAAAATAAATTCTTGAAAACTGAATAATTTTAAACTGCTTAATTAAATTATTCCTTGGACACACACTTCAATAATATCATTTGGAAATTAATTTAAAAATTTTCCATTATAAATTAATTTGCAGTTAAATATAGCTTTCATTATATTGGGGGACCAAATTGAGAATACATTTAAAATAAGGAAATGAGGGGCGCCTGGGTGGCTTAGTCGTTAAGCGTTCTGCCTTCGGCTCAGGTCATGATCCCGGGGTCCTGGGATCAAGCCTGCACCGGGCTCCCTGCTCGGTTGGAAGCCTGCTTCTTCCTCTGCTACTCCCCCTGCTTTGTGTTCCCTCTCTCACTGTGTCTCTCTCTGTCAAACAAATAAATAAAATCTTTTAAAAATAATAAATAAATAAAATAAAATAAGGAAATGAACCACAGTAATAATAAACTTTATGTGGTAAACTGAATGACACTCCCCGCCCGCAAAGTTGTTCTAATTCCTGGAACCTGTGATCATGTTACATTAATTACATGGCAAAAGGACTTTGCAAATATGATTAAATTAAGGATCTTGAGCAAGGGAAATTATCCTGGATCATCCAAGTAGCCCAAGTTATCACTAAGGTCTTTATAAAAGGGAGGCAGAGGGTCAGAGGAAGAGCAAGGGATGTGACAACAGAAGCAGAAGTCAGCGTTAGAGATTTGAAGATGCTAAACTGCTGGCTTTGAAGATGGGCAAGGAATGCCAGCAGCTTCTAGTAGATGAAGAAGGCAAGAAAAGAAATTCTGCCCTCGAGCCTTCAGAAGGAACACAGGCTTGCTGACGCCTGCAGAACTGTACATAATAAATTTATATTGCTCGAAGCCAGTAAATTTGTGGTAATTTGTTACAGTAGCAGTTGCAAACTAACACATTTTATAAAATAGTTGGGCCTAACTATGACAAGCTATGGTCAGTTATAGTCAAATAGCAAAGTTGTGGGGGAAAGATGACAGCATGAGATTATTTTAATACTGACATTAGTTGTACCAGCTATTGGAGTTAAGAGCAGTTCTTAGAAAAGCGTCTATGCAGTTTGCTTTAAATTAATCTACAAGAATCCTGTTATAAAGTAAGTTGGAAAAATTTATTTACTTTAAATATTTAAATTTCGGCACCGGGGTGGCTCAGGCCGGTTAAGCGTTTGCCTTCCGCTCAGGTCGTGATCCCAGTGTCCTGGGATGGAGCAGCGCCTGGGGCTCTCTGTTCCATGGGGAGCCTGCTTCTGCCTCTGCCCCTACCCCCCGCTCCCCGCCCCCCGGTCATTTTCTCCCTCTCAAAAATAAATCAATAAAATCTTTAAAAAAAAAAATCTTTAAATTTCATCTTTGGTATATTTTCTACTTTCCACTTTTAAGCTTTGTCTCTCCTTAAAAAATAATCCAGAAGAAAAAGCAAGCTCAACTCTCAGTGTCTTTGTTCAAGATTTTATTTATTTATTTATTTACTTGTTTGTTTGTTTGCTTGACAGAGAGAGCGAGCGCTCACAAGCAGGGGGGCAGGCAGGGAGAGGCAGAGGGAGAAGCAGGCTTCCCGCTGAGCAGGGAGCCCGATGCGGGGCTCGATCCCAGGAGCCTGGGATCCCTGACCTGAGCCACCCAGGCGTCGAAATTTAAATATTTAAATTTTTATTTAAATATTTAAATTTTTATTTAAATATTTAAATATTTAAAATATTTAAAAACTCCCGAGTTTCTTTCCAATTTAAAGTGTTAAGAGTAGAGCACTGTTCCCTCAGCCATCCCTCCTTGCGGCACTCCCCATTTCCGGCCGGCGTCCGGCCCGGGGGCGCTCAAGAGCCCGGCGCGCGTGGCTGGGCGGCGGAGAACAAGGAGGAGGAGCCGGAGGAGGAAGTCAGCGGCCCGGTGGGCGCAACCCCGGCGATGGCGCTGCCGCTGCGGCTGTTCGGATGCGCGCGCCGGACGATCCTGGGGTCCGCGGAGGCTGCGCTCTGGGGTGAGCTCGGCGGTCCCTGGGGAAAGGGAGAGTGCCTAACCTCCGGCCCGGGGAAGGAATGGCATTGGTGGGGGTGCTCGCTTCTTGAGGCTTCCAGTTAAAAATCAGACTCATTACTCTTGGCACCTGGGAAGATAGCACCTACTTTCCTTCAGATTCCGGGCTACTTGGGTCTGGGGGTGCTTTTGGGGGACGCAGGGAGAGAGGCCAGCGTTGCTCCAGGGAGCTCGCGTGGGGAGGCTTTTATGAAGATACTGGTGCCTGACTGGGCAGTGAAGTCAGTTGGCGACTCAGAGGAGCGAGCAACACGGCCAGTGTCTGCCCGAGAGAGACTAAGGATGAGCCCAGCTTTGCGAGTTACACCTGTGACCCACTAGGGAGCCGCGCTCAGAGCTTGATGGCAACAGTCACCTAGAATGATAACACGTTCGAGCTATTAAAGTACCACTGCTAATTTTACGGACGGCAAAACAAGCCAGAGAAACGGCTAGTGGAGGCGTTGGGGGGATTACTCAAGAGCAGGCTTCCAGTCCCTTCTTTTTGCTTTACATGCTGCCTCTCCTTTAGCAGAATTTTCATTTGTGGATGCAGCTGCAGAGACTGTGGCCTAACACGGTGTCCCCAACTCTCCCTCCCAGTTACTCCACTTGAACTTTTGGTACATCCTCTGTAGTTTAAAATGTGCTTTTTCTATGCAAGTTTGTTGTTTATTGAGCACCTAGAAATGCAGACCTCTTGCTGGGCATACAGCCTCCGCGGTTCACGTCCCCATTTTGGGGAGAGACAGACACAAGTAAACAGTCACCACACACAGCCCCGTGAGATTGCAATGGAAAAAGCAATTATTCTACGCGAGTTGGAGAAAGTGTTAGAGAAAAGGTGCTTTTCATTTTAAAAAATGTTTACTAGTGGGGGGCCTGGCTGGCTCGGTTGAGCATGCAACCCTTGATCTCAGAGTTGTAATCTGGAACCCCAGGTTGGGTGTAGAGATTACTTAAAATCTTAAAAAAAAAATTCTAGTGATACATTATTGTATTCCCATTATATTCAAACTGACGATAAAGAACAGCTTATGATCCCCTCTATACACCCTCCCATAGTCCACCCTCCTCTCCAAAAGTGGTTTGGTACACATCCTTCTAAACACTTTTTTATGAGTATGCATAAATGTATACATAAAAATACTACATATATATAGGTGTTGCTGTTTTTTAATTTATGCTCCAGAATTCCTTTTTTTTTTTTTAAGATTTTATTTATTTATTTGAGAGAGAGAGAATGAGAGAGAGCACATGAGAGGGGGGAGGGTCAGAGGGAGAAGCAGACTCCCTGCCGAGCAGGGAGCCCGATGCGGGACTCGATCCCGGGACTCCAGGATCATGACCTGAGCCGAAGGCAGTCGCTTAACCAACTGAGCCACCCAGGCGCCCTTTTTTTTTTTTTTTTTTTTTTTAAGATTTTATTTACTTGACAGAGTGGGAGAGAAAATGAGAGCACGAGCAGGGGGAGCAGCGGAGGAAGAGAGAGAAGCAGGCTCCCGGCTGAGCAGGGAGCCTGATGTGGGACTCCATCCCAGGACCCTGGGATCATGACCTGAGCCCAAGACAGACGCTTAACAGATTGAGCCACCCCGGTGCCCCTATGCCCCAGAATTCTTGTCCATGCAATCCCACTCCCCAGGAATAGTTTCCTATTTCCTTCTAGATGTTTTTCTGGACATTTATAAAACGAAAGTATTGTATCTTATGTGTATATAGATCTCAAAGGGAAGCTTTTTCATTTAGCAATATGGACATCTCTCCAAGTCACTAAATGTCTGCCTCTTCCTTGTAAATGCTGCATGGTATGCTTCATAATTAATTTAACCATTTCCTGTATGAACATTTAGGTTGCTTCCAGTTGCCAGGATGAGTTTCTAATCTTTCAACCAAGACTTTCCAAAGAGAATACTGTCAATCCTTGTCTTCTTCATGACTTGAGGCTGCTAACATGAGTGTTTGTTACTTAATCAGTGACCCCCCCATAACACTGAAAATGTCCTTTGTCTCCTACAGTTCCATGAGGACAAAAACTTGCTGTCTACTTTCATTCTCTGAAGGAATCCCCTCAAGTCTTATTCTGCTAGCTTTATTGTTGTTCTTGTCTTCCTCTTTGCTTCTGTTTAGACTTACACGGGTTTGAAGTGGGATCCCAAACCCGACCTACTAAGTCATGTACACTGCAGCTGAGGGCTGTACTCACACACCTTGGTGGTGGCACAAAGTGAGTGAACTTTCATCTACCGCATCCTGTCCTTTCTTTCCCGAGTTCTGACCTCTCTAAGATTCTAAGTGGCTTTCTGGGTAACAGCCAGGTTGTGTAAAGGCCTTTACTTGATCCTAGTCCTACAAAGAACAGCAGAAAACACGGAGGTGCTTTGTCAATATGAATCAGCTGCCAGCAACAGAAGATGCTTTAAATAAGGAGGGAGGTTGGGGAAGGTGACAGCTCAGAGGACCTGGGGACTCGCTGGGCTATTTAAGGGAAAGTACTGTGATCAAGTAGTAATGGAGGTTGAGAAGACAAGTAGCTTTGAGAAGCTGAAAGCTAGTATAGGGTATTCCCCTTTCATACTAAACTCACCACTTCACGCAATAAATGCATTGCCTTATCTAAAATTTCCATTTTAACCTTTTATTCACTGGGATGGTTGTTCACTTGCTTTTCAAATTTTGCTGTGAGTGGTTCTCAAAAAGTCAAAATATTTATTAAAGTGATTACATTAGAAGTCATAAAATGTTCACACTAAATCCAAGTACCCGTTTGAGAAGGAAGCACACCAAATGTTCTTCCTAATATTTTCTCTCTGGAGTAACAATCATTATTTCTAATATATTTTTTCTTGGTTGTGTGTTGTTTATATTGACCATTACATGGTCTCTAGAAATAATTTTCAGTATTCAACAGATATTGATGTGGGGTTTCTAAGGTGTCAACATCCAAAAGAAGAGTATAGATAAACCAGAGAATTTATTTTATAGCTGTGGCAAGAGTGATTTGTTATTATGTTGATTGTTATTATTATTAAGCAAAAACTTTTATGTTTCAAATAGTTACATTTTTCACATCAAAACTTTATTTATTTGAAATTATAAAAAGAATACCAAACTGAATTGGTAGGAAGTAATGGTAGACTATTTCTTTTTTTTTTTTTTTTTCTTTGCTCAGATTTTATTTATTTGCGAGAGAGAGAATGAGAGACAGAGAGCATGAGAGGGAGGAGGGTTAGAGGGAGAAGCAGACTCCCTGCTGAGCAGGGAGCCCGATGTGGGGCTCGATCCCGGGACTCCAGGATCATGACCTGAGCCGAAGGCAGTCGCTTAACCAACTCAGCCACCCAGGCGCCCATTGGTAGACTATTTCTAAGTGAAAGTTTTTTTTAAAAGATTTTTATTTATTTGAGAGAGAGAGAGCACAAGCAGAGGGTGGGACAGATGGAGAGGGAGAAGCAAGCTCCCCATTGAACAGGGAGCCTGATGCGGAGCTGGATCCCAGGACCCTGAGATCATGACCTGAGCTGAAGGCAGATGCTTAACCAACTGAGCCACCAAGGCGCCCCTCTAAGTGAAATTTAGCTTAGTTTTTTAAAGTACAACATAGTACAAAACTATGCTATATTATAATAGAAGAAAATAAGCTAAATTTATGAAAAAATAAATTTAGAACCCAAATCATGCATATGATTTCTATATATAGTTTCTTCAAACATACAATTAATTAAATCGCATTAGGCTAATCGAAATTAAATAATTCAAAGATAGGAGTGCCAGGCTGGCTCAGTTGGAAGAACATGCATGCAACTCTTGATCTTGGGGTCATGGGTTTAAGCCCCATGTTGGGTGTAGATAGTACATAAATAAATAAACTTTAAAAAATTTTTTCAAACAATAATTGAATCTAGAACTTTTTGATAAATAAAAGTAATCCTAAATTTTTTTTTTTTAAAGATTTTATTCATTTGAGAGAGACAGACAGAGAGAATGAACAGGGGAGAGAGGCGGAGGGAGAAGCAGACTCCCCACTGAGCTAGGAGCCCGACATGGGACTCAGTCCCAGGACCCTGGGATTAAGACCTGAGCTGAAGGCAGACGCTTAACCAAGTGAGCCACCAAGGCGCCCCTCTAAGTGAAATTTAGCTTAGTTTTTTAAAGTACAACATAGTACAAAACTATGCTATATTATAATATAGAAAAGAAGCTAAATTTATGAAAAAATAAATTTAGAACCCAAATCATGTATATGATTTCTATATATAGTTTCTTTAAACATACAATTAATTAAATCGCATTAGGCTAATCGAAATTAAATAATTCAAAGATAGGAGTGCCAGGCTGGCTCACTTGGAAGAACATGCATGCAACTCTTGATCTTGGGGTCATGGGTTTAAGCCCCATGTTGGGTGTAGATATTACATAAATAAAAACTTCAAAAAATTTTTTCAAACAATAATTGAATCTAGAACTTTGAGATATATAAAAGTAACCCTAAATTTCTTTCTTTTTTTTAAAGATTTTATTTATTCACTTGAGAGAGACAGACAGCATGAACAGGTGAGAGAGGCAGAGGGAGAAGCAGACTCCCCGCTGAGCTAGGAGCCTGACATGGGACTCAATCCCAGGACCCTGGGATTAAGACCTGAGCTGAAGGCAGATGCCTAACCATCTGAGCCACCCAGGCGCCCCTAGAAGTAATCCTAAATTTCTTAAGCTTTCTGTTTGAAAAAAAAAAAAAAAAATGCTTATTCCTATAGGTTTCTCCTTACTAAAAAGACCTGACAATTGTAATAGAAAAACAAACCTCTAAACATGTATACAGTGAATCAGACCATTCTGAATTATACTAGATCTTCAATTTGCATTGTCTAATATGATGTGATTTTAAATATTTTTAGGTCATCATATTTATCTCACACTGAAATTTGGGTTGGTAGGTTGATTTTTTTTTGAGCTGTAGGCATTTGA